AGCGAGAAATCACCCCCCAGGGGGGATGGTCACGCCGCAATCCCTTCTCCTCCATTCTCCTCTCGGGATCTTGGGCACGCACGCACACGCGCCCGGCGTGAGTTTTAAGCCACCGGGTCCGGGACACGAACCGCGGTCGACTACGTGGGAGTCCAGCGACATAGCCATTATGCTAACTGCTGGTTCCCAACACAGCTCATTTTTAAATGTACAAGTATTCATTGTTTTCTTTTTTCTCTTATAGTTGTTCAAATTCATGATAAAATAGAAGATAGTTCCGGATTTGGGAACAGCGCTATTTTTCATCTTGAGCCAGGTCTTTAAACATCGTCACTTCATCAGTTCCCTGTAGGTTAATTATTAGCACATCAGAACAATTCTCTTCAAACACTAAAAGTCGGTGGATCAGTCAACAGTTCCTGCTTTCCACACGGCTCAGAGACCTTCCCCAAACCACCAGAAGAAGGAAGTGAAAAGATCTTAAATACTGGGACCAGAACATTCCGGTCATCACAAGTCTGGCTTCCCAGTCAACATGAAGGCTCTCCTTGTTCTGGGGCTTCTGCTCCTTTCCGTCACTGTGCAGGGCAAGATCTTTGAAAGGTGTGAGTTGGCCCGAACTATGAAAAGACTTGGATTGGATGGCTACAGGGGAATCAGCCTGGCCAATTGTAAGTGTGCTTTCCTTCAGGCCTCCAGGTGGTCAGCCAGGTAGGGCTCAGCTACTGGGGGAGAGTAAGTCAGGAGAGGGGGACTGAGGGAATTGACTTTTATTGCCTTGCAGGTATGTCTACTACAACGGTGAAATGCGTCAGTTTGGTCCTTTAGACTCAGCCTTTTTGGCACCAGGGACCAGTTTTGTGAAAAAAAATTTCTCCAGAGACAGGATGAGAGGATGGTTTGGGGATGATTCAAGTACATTGCACTGATTGTGCGCTTTATTTCTATTATTATTACATTGTGATGTATAATGAAATAGTTCTACAGTTCACCACAATGCAGTGCTTGCAGCTGCTCCCCAGTGCTAGCATCAGGGCCACAGCTCCACCTCAGATCACCCAGCATTAGATTTGCACAAGAAAGCATGCAACCTAGATCGCTCGCATGCACAGTTCACGACAGGGTTTGCGCTCCTTTGAGAATCTAATGCCGCTGCGGATGTGACGGGAGGCAGAGCTCAGGCCATAATGCCAGTGATGGGGAATGGTTGTAAATGGAGATGAAGCTGCACCGGCTCACCAGCTGCTTACCTCCGGCCGTGGGGCCCAGTTCCTAGCAGGTCATGACTGGTAATGGTCCATGGCCAGGGGTTGAGGACCTCTGCTTTAATCCAAAGATCTCGGATTAAGGAATGAGGGCAGGGGAGAGAAATACCCTATACCATTCTAGCTAAGACAGGACCTGTTACACGCTTGTACTGCCACTCAGTTTGCCCGGGGTCTCAGACTCAATGGAGCAGACGGACCGACAAGAGGATACTTTGGGGGACTTGGCACAGCTCTGTCAGGGTCTTGGTATTTGATCCTAGCCATTGCTCTTTTGGAACTAGGGTTCTGAGAACCTGAAGTAATGCAGTATTTTTATCTTTATTAATTCTCCTGCCATGATACGAGATTTTTAAGAAGTATGTTGAAACTCTCCATACAGGGACAAAAACCTATTTCCTTTCTGTTACTGTTCATATTAGCATTCTTGAGACACAGAATTTTAATAATTATATGCTTTCATATAATTAACAACTATTTTCCTATTCTTAAAAGTACATTATCTTGTTTGATTAGCATTACAAAATGATTTACTTTGCCAAAGAATTCTCTTGGAGTCCTTTAACAACAAACAGTTAAAATATTTTGAAGGTAAAATCCATCTTTATACTTATAAAGTAAGTCCTTAGAAAAATAAAAATAGCTAATTAGAACGGATTTTAGTATATGGTGTAAGTCATTTGGTGTTTCTGTTTATTACTAACAATCAGTTCTTTTCAGGGATGTGTTTGGCCAAATGGGAGAGTGATTATGACACACGAGCTACAAACTACAATCCTGGAGACCAAAGCACTGATTATGGGATATTCCAGATCAACAGCCGGTACTGGTGTAACGATGGCAAAACCCCGGGAGCAGTGAACGCCTGTGGCATATCCTGCAATGGTAAGAGGGGACGACGTCTGAGGGCTGGCATGGCCCTGTCTGGTACTTACAGGAGCAGGGTTTCAATGCAAATGGAATTTGAAGCATTTGATGGAGACCTAGAAAAATTCCATCTCCACTTCTGGAAGGTTGTCATTGTCCTCCTCACAATTCCCTAAGTAAGAAATTAAAGAGCTGGTAATATAAAAGATTGTTTTTGAATATATGGAAGTATCTGCAATGACTTATTTGTCGTACACGCATCATTGGGGCTTTGTGCAGAACACCGCTATTTCTCCAGCTTCCTTTGGAGAAGTTCGCGGAAAAGTCCATGGCTCCAAATTTTTGGAAATTTTGGCGTAGCAATTATTTGATTATTTTACTTTTTACTATGAAAATGTTCCAAATATGTAGAATGTTACAGACGTTAGTATAACCAGCCATATGTTCACCGAGTACTTGAACGTTTTGCCATAGATGCTTCTTTTGACTCTCCCTACCTGTCCAGTCCACAGTCCCCTAGCCAGCCAGGATCATGGGAAGCTCGTGGGTGTTCCCAGCATGTTCAGGTTAACCCAGATCAAACTCCAGGTCTTCTCATATGGCTCTAATATCCTCATGGATGCCATATTACCTGTGTCACTGCACTTAAGCCTAAACTTACTGTACAATGTGTAAAAACTGTATAGAACTCCACTATATGAACAGTCTATAATTCATTACTCCAGCTCCTTTGTTAAGCTCTTACTGTTTCCATTTTTCCCTTTTAGAAAATTGCTGTGTGCTGACCATGTAGCTTAGTGATTAAAAGAGATAGATCCCACCATGGCCAAATGTGGTTTGAATCCCAGCTTTGGCAGCTTGAGAAAGACACTGGACACATGTGTATCCAGGCCCCAAATCCTGACAGATTAGAGAAATGGAGGAGGAGGGAGTGCAGTGTGAGCACACCCTATTGGGGGATGCTTTCTGCCTCTCTGTCTCTTTGGGAAGTACGCAAGCCCTCTGGAAATTGAAAAAAGAAAGAAAGAAAAAATTGCTATGAGAAACATTGTGCATACATCTCGGGGTATATTTCTTATTGTTTTATGGTGTTAATTTTCAAGAGTGGAATTGCTAAATGAAAAATTACTAAGCTTTTTTTCCTACTGAGTCTAATAGAAAGAAGACCTTTCATCATATTAGTTAATTATTCCAGAGCTTACACTGACTTTGGTAAAAAGAAACGAAATGCTTATTTCATGGCAAAACAAAGAGAAAATTTCTCATCATAAATATATAGACTCTTGGAAAATGATTTCTCAGTATTCTTTCCTTAGCTTGACAGAATAAAATTTTTAATAGTCAAAAGTACTCGAAATGACATATCAGTTTATTGAACCTGGACTTACTGATGCTTTGTCCAGAACAATGCCATTTATCCAGCTAACTTTTGAGAGGTTTATGGATAATTCAGTTATATGGTCCTTTTTTTTTTTTTTTTTTTTTTTTTTTTAAAGAGGATTTTGCTATAGGGTGTGTGCACTCACCAGAAAGACAAAGAGAGACAGTGAGACAGAAATTGAGAAATCCCTAGGGGGGTTGGCCATGCTACAATCCCTTCTCCTCCATTCTCCTCTCACAATCTTGGGCACGTACACACATGTTCTTGGTGTGAGTTTCAGCCACTGGGTCTAGGACTCGAACCACTGTCAAATGTATGGAAGTCCAGTGACATAGCCATTACACCAGCTGCTGGTCCCTATATAGTCCTTTTCTGATTACCTTATTTCTTTTATAAATTTTTATTTATTTTTAAAAATGTTTAGACTTTTGCCAATGGGTATATGCATACACCTGAGAGAGAGACAGGGAGAGGGAGAGGGATAAATGAGAAAGAGATGCCCACTCCATACCACAACTCCTTCTCCTCTATTCTCCTCTTGGGATCCTGGATATATGTGTATATGTGCCAGGCATGTTTTTCAAGTTGCCAGGTCTGGGACTCAAAATGCACAGTCAGTGATGTGGGATCCAGCTGCCTTAACCACCATGATTCAAGCTGGCCTTGTTTCACTTATTATTATGTAGTGTCTAAATATATAGAAAACTGTGGATATTATATAATAACCAGCCATATGTCTGCCATGCACTTTTAACAATTGTTAATGCTTTGCTACAGCTGCTTCTTCTGTATGTGTATATATACATCCCCTCTCCCATGGGATTTTAAAGTGAATTAAAAGCAATGACATTTCATTTTTATATTCTTTAGTCTGAATCTTTAAAAAATATAATTTCTATATAATTATTATTATACCTAAAACTTCTTTTATGGGTTTGTTTACTAGTAGAGAAACAAATACTTTTTAAACCTCAGATTAAAAATAGAAATAATGTGGGGAACCAGCAGTTAGCATAATGGCTATGTCGCTGGACTCCCACGTAGTCGACCGCGGTTTGCATCCCGGACCCAGTGGCTTAAAACCCACGCCAGGCGCATGTGTGTGCATGCCCAAGATCCCGAGAGGAGAATGGAGGAGAAGGGATTGCGGCATGGCCATCCCCTCTGGGGGGTGATTTCTGGCTTTCTGTCACTCTGTCTCTCTGTCTGGCGAGCACACGCACCCTATAGTGAAAAACCTCTCAAAAAAAAATTAGAAATAATGTGAAAAATTTTAGTGATTAAAATATTGTGTAGCTATTGCAAATTTGATATCAAGTTTTTAAATGTTAAAGTTCCTAGTAGAGAAGACTCATTTTAGAATATTCTTTTTTCATGCAGTCAGTTTATTTTAAAAATAGTTTCCATTATATAATCATCTGTGATCAATGAATAAAACTTACAATATGTAAGGGCCAGGCCCGTAGCACAGTTGTTTGGGTATTTAGCTACAGTACTGGAAGTAGGATCCTGAACCAACTTGAAACATGCCAGGCTCCCTCA